GTCATCAGTTTCATCATCAAATACAACCTCCTTTGCACTATCATACGAAAAGCTACTATCATCAGAGCTATCATCATCAGAACTATCATCATCGTTCTGTCCAACAGCATTTTCACTTGCCTCCTTCTGTCCAACATCATCTTCACTTGCCTCATTCTGTATAACAACATCTTCACTTGCCTCCTTCTGTCCAACAACATCTTCAATTGCCTCCTTCTGTATAACAACATCTTCACTTGCCTCCTTCTGTCCAACAGCATCCTCACTTACCTCATTTTGTCTAACTGCATCATCTTCCATTACATTCAGGGGTATCTCATCTAAAATAACTTCACTCTCATCAACATACTGAGGCTGTGACAATGGGTGTTGAATAAAGACTTCAACACGTAAATGAACCCTATATAGATCAGCAATCTCTAAGGCCCCTTTGTCATCAAACAACAGATTCATTCCAGCAGTTGGATCCTTATAGTATATCTTCTCTATGGCTGGGTAACCTAGTTCCTTAATAGCACCCAATAACTCAAAATAACCCCACATATCAGCATCTACTCTCAAATCAGCAATCTCACCTCCTTCGTACACACTCAAGTCCTCACTAACAAATTGACCACTGTGGTGTATCGTAATATTAAGAATTTCCTCCATTACACACAATGCCCTAAATAGAGAGATGAATTTCAGAGAAGGAAGACGAATTTCATGGAAACCCTAACTATGAAAATAGAATTCTTGCAGAAAGCAGAAACTTACCTCTGATGAGAAGTCTGGTTTCACCTTCAAGGAAACATGCAATGGATGAGTGATAATGCCACATAAGAGTGTCAAACTGACTTTTAAGTGGAATTGCCACATGCAATTTTTCTAAACCCACGTGTAATGCCACATAAGCGCTGCCATTAAACATGACTAACGGAGTGGATGGAAAGGACAAACGTGGTCCTTTTGAAAGAATTATAGGACCAGTTTGACACTTTTTTTAGATAAAGGACCAAAATGGACCTTGGGGTAAAGTTAAAGGACTAAAAAGGGTATTTTGCCTAAATTTTTCTAGACTTTTTTTGAAATAAATGATACCAATATATAAATTTAAATTAATAAAAGAACATATTTTGGTAATTTTTTAGTAAAGATGTAAAAATAGTAAATAAAAAAAATAACATGATGCTAAGTACATTTTTTGTGATTTTTTTAAATGGAAAAGAAATCATGAATAAAACACAATAAAAATAAAATTCCACTAAAGTCATAAACAACTTCTAACGTTTCTACTTTTTCGTGGTTTTTCAAAGCATAATCAGCTCTTGACTTGTAAAGAGAAATTGTAGATGATGTCAAGGAGAATCATATGCAAAAAGAACCGTTCAAAAATATCTAAATTTAAAGAAGTTATAAAATTTTGAAATCTAACTCAAGAATTGGCAAAAAATAAATCAAACCACTCGTGAACACTTGTTATGCAATGATGCAAATGGAGGGTGGGATCTTAGGTCAAAAATTGGGGTATGACACCTTTGTCTTCTTAACTTGAGAATTTCCCTCATGACCATTCTCAAATAATCAAATATAGACTTAGCTGAGTCTATGTTTGTTATCTTCTCATACTTAGTAAAATAAATCATATTTAGCAAGATAGTTCTTGCTTTATAATTATTCTTAATCTTTCTTTTGTTGTTCTTTCATAGATCTCCTCTCGATCTTATTTACTCTAGTATCTATAAGATGTTTGTAGCCATCAGCTGCCATAGCTCAAAGATCAAAGATGAGAGGTTTAGCATTGTAGTTGTCTTTATCATTGAGAACAGACACATCTGCAACATGTGGTGGAATAGCCATATTGTTTCTAAAATGTTTGAATCTTTATCTATCACGGTTAAGTGTTTGATAACTATTAATACCAGAACCAGAGCTCTGATGCTAATTGGAGGTGTAAGAAACATAAGAAAGAGGGGTTTGAATTGAGTTTCTAGAAATAAAATCTTTTCGAAACCAACCACTTAAGTTAACACAAAAACAAAAATAAATGAACACAATTATTTTTATCCTGGTTCACTGTTAACGAAGTCAATCCAGTCCACCCACCAATGTGATTTTTCTTTCTCAACACGGACTTAATCCACTATAACTAAACTGATTACAGACACAAATAGAGACTAACCGTCAATGTCTACAACCACAAGGACTTATCATCAATGTCTTCTTGAGAATCCCGACTAAAGCTCTAGTCTCTCAAGAAACAATCAACTCACTGTTGAATACAGTTTTGTATGTTTACAAGATTGCTTCTTGAAAGCATATTACACATAAATGAAATACAGATAATAACATAACAGTGTTAATAGCAAGTTAGAAAACAAATGTTCCTTGCTAGAAAGTTAACAAACAAAAGTTCATTGCTTTACAAAACTTTACAAAGTAATTTCAGCAATGTTTTAGAAAAATGAATCACCACAAATTCATTATTTTCCAATTCAACTAAGTCTTTTCGTTATAGCCAAAAAGTAATCCGTTAGAGGGTAGAATAGGAATACCATTATTTCTAACTATCTTCTTGCAACAGTCAATGTGAGTGGTAGACAACATCGTACCAATAGTATAGTCCTTGCGCCATAAAAACAGGGTAGTGGAACGAGGTGATCTTGTACTATTTCTCACGTGAGACCTTTGATATTCTCTTCTAATCTCCAAAGGCTTCAGAAAAAGTAAGAGTTAAAGCATGCTTAGAAGGATAAAAAACCATGTCTTTATAACCATGTCTTCAGAGCCTTTAGAACTTGGTTAGAAAAACCTTGTCTTCAGAGTCTTCGACACTTGGTCTTCAGAGCCTTGTCTTTAGAATCTTTAGAACTTATTCAATAGAAACTTGTCTTCAGAATCTTCAAAGTCGCTGGTCTTCAGAGTCTTCAAAACTTGTTCAATAGATCCTTGTCTTCAAAGTCTTCTGAACATTGGAGCAAGAGAGCTTTGGAATCTTCAGAGCTTGAGAACCCATAAGAAGCTCCACTATCATAATCACAGTTAGAATCAATAAAACTAACATTCATAAGAATTGTTGTTTTAGAAGCATTCTAAACAATGAGACACACACTTGTATCTCTTAGTGTGTTGTGTCCAGAATCTAATGACGCCATGCATCAAATCTTCTGAGTCAGAACCTGTTAGCAAAATCTACACACTAAACAAACCATTAAGGTACTATATTATTATCTAATCACCCATGTAATGTTATCATCAAAACTCAAGGCCAGATGTAGAACCAAATCTTGTTCTTACAGAGTGATATTTGTTTCCTTGCGTTATTTTTCTGATGTCACTTTGGCCATAAGTATCTTTATCTCGGGCCTTTGTGACTTTGTGAACTATTACTCCAATAGATCATTAGTAAGGGCCGAGAGTTTATAATACTATTGTCTAATGGGCTAACTACTTGTGTCATGGCGCGGAAAATACCCGAGTGCATGAACGCTCGAAATACAACAGAGATATCGATAAAACCCTTAAAGAACAAAAATATGATCGTCGCAACCAAATTAGGGTTTGAGAATCGTTAATGTGAGGGGAAGGTATTAACACCTCTTATATCCATTGTACTCAATGGGAACCATTTAGTTAATTTTGCGATTAAAGTGTTAGCATAATGTTATTTGTTTTCTTCTAATTATTATGATGTATTTAAATGAAAAGAGGGACTAAAAATAAGTTTTTTTTAGGGTTCTTGACGAGATTGCGAGTCTTGCTTCTATGTATCCTCTAGTGCAACGAGGAAATCAAAGCTACATGGTTATGGGCAGAAAATGTTTATTGGTTGGTCGATTTTAGCTAAAGGTATTTAGTCGCACTCGAGCAGAAAATGTTGCTTGCTAAATAAACATGGAGAAGTGGACATTTGTATCACATCAAAATGGACAACATAATCTGGATTCTCATAGATTTATGCTCTTGTCGTATTCAAGCAGAACACGTCACTTACTACTCACACATGGTAGGAACAAAGCGTTGTTTGCATCATCTTAGAATACACTAAGCATCTTTCGTTTGTAAAGTTTTGGCATCGCGCTAAGGCAAAAAAAGATAGCTTGATTGGTTGAATTATTTTTAGGTGGAAGAAGAATATTCAAATAATAAGTTAATTACGATTAGAATTCAAAATACTCGGGGAAAGGATGGATATCATGTCTAAACTAATCCCTTTTCATCCAAATCATTTATGAAATAACATTGGTCCCTAGATATACAAAAAGGTTAAATCAATTTGAGAGAAACAAAGTTTGTGAACTTATTCTCAAAGCTTCAGCTAATCCAGTGATTGGTTCCTAAGTGGGTCTTTTGCAATAAGCTTAATTATTTTGGAAATGTTTTGAGAAATAAATAAAGACTCATTGAGAAAGGCATATATTTTAATGAAACTTATACCCATGTATATTGATTAGAATGATCGGGATGCTTCTAGCTTTCTCATGCATTATATTTTCTTAAACTCTTCCAAACGGAGGTAAATAGTGTGTTCTTGAATGGTTACATGTAGAAAGAAGTGTATATTGATTATCCTCCTGGATAAAAAATTCCTTATCATGCTTTCAAAATGAAAAATGATCTCTATGATCTAAAACAAGCTACTAGACCTTGGTTTGGTAGTCTAAACAATTTTCTGCTTGAAAACAAGTTTATAAGAAGGAAGGATCACCAAACCCTCTTTCAAACCGAGCATAAATTTTTCTTGTGCATGCTTTTATCAATTCAATGCTACTAACAAATCCTTGTGCAATGGCTTTTTTGCTATGATTCAGATTAAACTCGAAAGGTCTATAATGAAAGAGCGTTGATACTCTTTTGGGTTACAATTTCATTAATCACAGAAAACTTCCTTAAATAGATTCACTTAAGGAATGTACAAAGAAATCTAAAGCTTTACACCGACAAATATGAAAAGGGAATGCTTTGGAGCTTTGAAGGTGTATTTTTTGAAAATATAACAAAGTTGTGCAAAGCAAGTGAATATGCAAGAGAAATATGTTTCCATGTGGAATTTGATAGCATTTATGAAGTCAAGGGTGTTGCTCAATGGTTGTGATGATCATGATGATCTTGGAAGCTTTAAAAGGTTGAGGTTATAAATTTTTAATGGATTTATCAGTCCTATGGTCAGACGAACTCTCGTATCAAATGATTCTTAAAGAAGGAAAAAACATTAACGGTTTTTTGTTCCCTCGTAAGGGGGAGTTTCTCAAGTTACATTTAGGATTTGAGGTAGTACACTTAATAGAGGTTGAAAAAATTAAAAACTCTGATTAGCTCTCTAGTAAATGGTTTATTGATTTCTTAGTTAATTAAAATTATTTTTACTAACCTTGGTTGAGTTTTAAGTTTTTTTTGGGAGCAAAGGGGTGTCAAAAGCAGTATGACTAGACCCTAATATCAATCAAAGGCCCAAAATATCAATGAGGCTATCCAAATATTTTTTAAGGGAAAATGATTATCTCTTAAAAGGAAATATCAACAAGAAATAAGTAGATTCTAGAAGTGTCTCTCGATTTAAAAAGCTTCAAAGATATCTGAGCTTTGTTTAAGAAAGAATCAAGGGGAGGAAGTACTCTAAAGCTTATACACCATTTAATCTCAACATTGGATACTTCCATCTATGGGGATAAGTATGGTCTTATGTATTGCTCATTTGTACCTTACTCTAGACTATGTTGTTTTTTAAATCTTTATCAGGTAACTTATTCCTTTTACTTGTGAAATCATGTGGTCTATGTGCTTGCTTGAGTTTATTTTCCCCATCTTTTTTATATTAGAAAAGTGGGTGAAATATACTCTCAGGGGGAGTATGGTATACTCTCCCTCTCTCTCTCTCTCTCTCTCTCTCTCTCTCTCTATATATATATATATATATATATATATATATATATATATATATAATATATATATATATATATATATATATATATATATATATATATATATATATATATATATATATATATATACCTTTGTTTCTTTGTCTGTCCAACTCCCTGAGAGATGAATTGTCATCATTAAAAGTTTGAATAATATGAATCTATATGCTCGCAGGTAAAAAAAAATTATGACATATTGATCCTTTGAGTGGTCATAATTGTTTTGACGATGACTCCTTTGTTCGGTGGAATCATGATAGTTGATTTGTTGCTTGATCATGTTGATCATTGGTGATATTTTTACAACTCTCTGATGATGGCGATTAACTTGAAGATATATCAAGCCTCGTCAATTAGAAGATTTAAGTTCATATTAACATGCTTCAAAGTGCTTATATGCTGAGTGCATTGGCAAAGGGAGTTAAAGTTTCAGAGTTGTGAAAGAGAGGAAGTGTAAAAGCTCGCATGGTCGTGTTTATATGAGTGACTAGAGTATTGTAAAAGTATAAGAGTAACTTTTAAGCTACTAAGGAAACTATCACACATATACAAAAACTTTTTGAAGTCTTTCTCATTTTGTAAAATCACCTAAAAATGTTTAAATGTCTATAAAATAGATTTGGGAAGTGTTCTAATAAACTAGAGGCCTCTTTTACAAAAGATAACCGGTTAACCCTAAAGGATAATAATTTATTTCACTTTGTAACACCTAAAATCAATTGGAACAACCTATAATTGATTATTAGCAGCTATAAATAAAAAATTCCCATTTTCGGAGTGCCATAATCGATTATGTGGTTAAATAATCGATTACCTCATTCAATTTGGCCCATGGAACATTTTCTTTTTGAGCCAAATCTTTTTCTATATAAATGATGCTTTTCGTCATTCCAAAATACACAGAATTCATAATTCTCTAATTATTTTCTCCTTCTTTAATCTCCTCCACTAATTTATATATTTTCTTTCACTAAAAATTGTCTTAGTGTCTTGTGAGTGAAAACTACTTATGCAGAAGTTGTTGTATTGGCGTCGTGTTTTGTTTTGTTTTGTTTTTTTAACACAAAAGTGTGATTCTCCGAAAGGTTCTTGTGGTTGGTTATAAAGATAAACTTATGAGAATATCTATTTGTTTCTAGAACTTATCCCAATAAAAGTTATATTTAGCTCTTAAGATTAGCCAGCAAAATCACCACTCGGATCACGAGCTCAGTCTAGTAAAAGTCCTTGTTTGGTTGAGAGGATCAACCTGTGTAAAATCTCTCGTCTCACTTGTAATGAAGGTTCGTGGGCATAACTTGTAAAAGCTTAAGTTATTATTAAAACTCTCAAGGAAAAATTCATCGGGAGAATACTAGGCTAATATTCAACCGAATCTCTATAAATTATGATGTCATTTCTATAACCTTCTTTATTTACTTTCTGTCATTTTAGTTTATGTTCTTTACAATTAATTCCATTTTATTTTCCGCCCATTTTCTCTGTACTATTTCCATACTAATATACATTGCTGTTTTAAGTAATATTTCTTTTAATTAATCACAAATTTTGTATACTATAGTTCACTCCAGTTTGTATTTGAGTCACTTGTTTACCAAATCATTCTCCTAATCGACTTCTTTTGACTATTTTCCTACCAAATCTCGACTACATCTCTCTATCACGAGTGATGTTATGATTTTATATAACTCTTACTTTTTTTTCTTAAATACGATGTCTGATTTCAACTTTCATAATATAGTTTTATATATAAAAATAATTATACTAACGACTCCATAACTTATCTTGAATGTCCACATATATGTGACTATTTTTTTAGTTTTAACACTTTGAAACTGTTTTATTAATCGAGTAATATTAAAATCAAAATAGACCAATCCAAAAATTTGTATACCCGATATCTATAGTTATGATGTTGTGCTTAGAATTAAGTTATAAATTTGTTAAACTTTTTAATAATTTAAACACATTAATCTATATCAATTTTCCAACTTATTTAAATATATTATTATTAACTACAATTAAAATATGATATTTTATATTGTCAAATTCTATAAAATGACAAATTAAATAACACTTAACAATCTCGTAAAACTTATGAAAATGAGTTGAAAACAACTTATGAACAATGTCATAATTTTTTTTATAAGTTCTTTCAAATAAATAGTCTTTCAAAATTCGTCAATATGTAAATTAAAATAAGTCAATCCAAGTCCACTAATCTCATTGATCTTTTAGTTCGTTAGTTTATTTAAACATAAATCACATAACTAATTTAATACGTTTAAATAAAACATGCTTTTAAATAGGTTAACAAACCAACCCGACTTTAAAAAATGTAAGACTCAAACCTAAAAGTAAGTCTATTACAATGTATTTCATTGCCCCTCTTTCTTGTAAAGTAGTTACCACTTGAGTAAAAAAAGATACATTTTGACCAATCAACATCTAAATAAACACATATTACTTTTTAGTTGTTTGAGAATCTGTATGTAACTACTGCTATTTTATTTGTTTGTTTGTCTCCAATACTTAACTCTTGTTGGCCACACCCTATAAGGATCATATAATTAATAACAATAAGTCCCGTTTGAAAATGCTCATAAATGAACCATCTGGAAATAAGTCTAGAAGCAGAAGATTCGATTAATCGAGATTTCAAAGCATTAGATCTAAACCATAGTTTTTTGATCGACCATATTTATGCTTGGCAAATCTTAAATCGATCTAACCTATTTTGAAACTTTAGCAAGGTCTATTTAATCTAACCTAATAATAGTCATAACGTAGATTAAATATCATATAAACCACTAAAAGGGTTTGACCACCCATAAGTACTATATGATGATTGAAGCTTTTCTTAGGAGAGTTGAAAGCTCTAATAGCCTAATTTCCTAAAAAAAAGTTTTTTAAATTTTTTCACTCAACAAATATGATTAATTTAGGGAATTTTTTATTACACCCTATATATCCAAGAAACACCCTATGCAATTCCCAAAAACTTCTTACGTTTTCAGAGATACATCTCCGGACACACCCTTTTTTTTATAAACTTCAATTTATTCTGAAGATGCATATTTGAGAATATGTCGGAGATGCATTTCTAAAATTTATGCAAACATAAATTATAATTTTCAATGTTTCACATGTTTTAACTACAAAATGAACACAAATTATATTCAAGACTATATTAATGACATGAATATATATATATATATATATATATATATATATATATATATATATATATATATATATATATATATATATATATATATATATATATATATATATATATATATATATATATATATATATATATATATATATATATATATATATATATATATATATATATATATATATATATATATATATATATAGTCAAGACTATAAAATGTATCTAAAGTTGATAAAATCGATTATCAAAAATGTATTTCTGAAAGTGAAGAAGAGAAAGAGACGAGCGCACGTATTAGTGTCAATTTATTCCCGAGATATAACTATGAGTCCCTCTCGGAAATACATCTCCAAAATATTTATGCATGACATCTGATATTTCTTAAACTAAACTATATTCTGAAAGTGAGGTGCTTCCGAAACTGCAACTATGAAAGTGTCTCCTAAATGTATTTTCAATTAATTCCTTTCACTTATATAGGGTTTTGTTCATCAATATGCATACTAGGGGTGCCTTTGAAAATACATTTATGAAATTTAGAGATATAAGGCTATCCATAATACAAACCGGCCCAAAATTCAAAAAAAAACGGCCCAAATTCGAAAAAACCCTAAAACATGTCTAAGGTCAACAATGTCATCCTTTCTCTCTCCGTCTCTTTCTCTCTCTGCCATCCTTTGTTTTTTTCCTCTCTCGTTGCTCCAAAAATGGCGAAGCTTCCCTGATCTATGCATGTGTAAAGGCTGTTCGAACTTGTTCAAACCATATCCGGGTCACCATTTTTTCCAACTAACCGGTCCAATCAAACGGATTTCACCGGTTTAGAAACAATTTTCGATCTCCCAACACTGCTACCAGGTACTGTTTTTTCTCTTTCTTTCCTCAAACATTCAACTACCCTTTCTTCATTTCTTCAAATCTCAACATGGGTTGCATTCAAAATCTCGTTTTTTTATAATTTCTAAATTTTGCTTGTAGATCTTGAATTCTGTTATACTGTTCTATTTTTGGCTTAAAGATCTGATTTTTTTTTTTTGTTTTGTCAAATTGTTCTTATCTTAGGTTAAAACCCACAAGCAGAAACGTTTGTGGTACGAGGATTCTGTAATTTATCTTGTTGGGCTGTTTTTCTTGTTTGACTCTATTTGAACTGAAACAAAAGGTAGATTTTTTTTCTGCTTCATATGATGTCACACATTTGCATTCTCTGTTGTTTTTCATTATCATTATTGTGTTTTGTTTTGTGTTTGTTAGTTAACAATGAATGAAAATTAACCTAGACAATTTTTGAGGTTATTTAACATAGTGTTATGTTATGCATTGTTTTATGCAGTTTTCTGCATTATCTGTTGTTGTTATGGATGGAGATAATGGCCTTAACATAACCAATTGGGGCTACTATGAACCTGTTGCGTCTTTTAAGAGCCATCTCGGGTTACAACTAATGCCATCGATGCCGGAAAAGCCTCTGCTGGGAGGACGCAATGCTGCAGTTTTGTCGGGTTCTAATGGTGCATTTCACCATAGGGACATTGGGTTGCCTCAAACTACATACCCTATGGATTATATGAGGGATGCATGGTTTAGTAGTCAGAGAGATAATAAGTATATGAACATGAATATGATACCTACTAACCCTCCGACGAGTTATAGTAGTATGCCCGAGACATCTTCGGCTCATCATATTCAAATGATTCGACCACCTGAGTTGGTTAAGGAAGAGAAGCCAATGGAGGAGGTGCCTGTGGTTGAGAAGTCGAATGGAACTGGTAAGAAGAGGCAGGGTTCGAAGGTCCCTAAATCTCCCAAGGCGAAGAAGCCAAAGAGAGGACCCCGTGTACCAAAGGACGAGAATACTCCTTCTGTTCAACGGACACCCAGGGCTCCAAAGAAAACTACGGAAATTGCAATTAATGGTATTGATTTGGATATTTCTAGTATCCCGATTCCTGTTTGTTCGTGCACCGGAGCACCTCAACAGTGTTATAGATGGGGCTCGGGTGGGTGGCAATCTGCATGTTGCACAACGGCTATATCGATATATCCTTTGCCTATGAGTACTAAACGGCGTGGTGCTAGAATAGCCGGAAGGAAAATGAGTATAGGAGCATTTAAGAAAGTTTTAGAGAAACTTGCAGCCGAGGGTTATAACTTTTCTAATCCAATTGATTTGAGGACTTACTGGGCAAAACATGGCACCAACAAGTTTGTTACAATCAGGTAGGTCTATTTCAATTGTCAACTGGCCTCTGATTTCGTTCAACCTGTTTGTCATGTATATATGTATGTGTATTTTGCCAGAAACTGAGGCTTCTTAGATGGTTTGTAGTAGGAGAATTTTCAAAGTCACGAGACTTATCCTTTTTCCCGTCTAACAATTTGCAATGTTGTTTCGCTGCTTTGGATTTAGTACATGGGAATTCAATCTCTTGGTTGGTTGGTTGGTCTTGATAGATAACTAACATATGCGATCTTGTTTTGTTAATGTTCACCTCACATTTTTATCGGGTTCATAAACCCTATTGGCGAATGATAGCTGCATCCCATTCTATTTTGTTTCGAACTAAATATGTGAGTATCGTTGTTGATCATCACTCTCTTATTTAGAGGTAGGCTTGTGCTCTATTTATAGGATTTAGTAAGGGAATGATAAATGCAGCATATTAGTAGACTGGTGAGGAGCTTTTACATGCAGCATATCGGTAGAGTGAAGTAGTTTGCGACATTCCATAGGGAATAAGATCAAGTTTTGATTCACGCAAGAATAAGTTTTTGATAAGAATCTTCAATGGTTCAATCAAGAACCTTAGAGTAGGCTGCCTATGCACAAACTCAGATGAACAAATTTAAGTAGAACATGAGTCTTAAATCTTAACTGATGCCATTTCCAATGAGGTCATTATAAAACATAACCATCTTAACCTAATGTTTAAAATAGGGGAATGCTCATTCCACTCTTTTGTAAATTTGAAAATGTTTTTCATGTGTCTGCAGATGCACGCATTCCAAATCACACTAGGATTTGTTTTTTCAGATCCACTCCATTTTGAATAAAATATGGTCTGGAGAAGTATAATTGAATAATATTTGGGTGTATTTGAAAATGCATCTTTTAAATATTGTATGTACTCATTTAGTGTTTTTATTTATTGAGCTGGTTTAATTAATGGACATTTCTGAAGATGCATCGGATAAAATACCACCTTGCATGATTTGCAGAAAATTGGATAAAATACTACCTTGCATGATCTCTAGACAAAATTTGGTGTGGTCCGAATATGCATCTCTGGACAGTTCTTATAGTTTGAGTTTTAACGTTGTTTTTCTCTTATTAGTGGTATTACATATGATGCATTCAAATATGTTTTTCAAATCTATTGTGAGTGTGGATGTTAAACCGGTGGAAGTGAAATATTATGTTAAACCAGATGAAGTGTATGATGATGTTAAATCGAGTGCTCGATTGATTGTTGTTGAGGTAGATGTTTGTGCACAATTTACAAATAAACAAGAGTTTATTGTTCGTGAACATATGCTACAATTGGTCCGCATGGAGGCCGAGAAATTGGGGTTTGGCGATGGAATGTCCGACAATGGTTCGGATAGAAGACAAGCATTTGTAACAATGATATGCGAAAGAAGTGGCACGTACCAACCACTGATTAAGAAGTTGAAACAAGATGACACTTGATCTAGAAAATGTGAGTATTCATTTAAATTGCGCAAATACTGTATGGTGGATGGCACATGAAAATCTAATGCGACTTTCGGTATACATAATCATGTCTTGATTGACAAGCTAGCTGATCACTCCATTGTATGTTGCCTTGTTTAGAAGGAGAAGGAACTTGTTTCAGACATGACATTAAACATAGTGGCGCCGAAAAACATACTTACGTCTTGGAAACAGAAAAATCCTATAAATATTTTAAATATCAAGCAAATATACAATGTGCGTCCTTAAAACAACAAGGAGGTAAGAGGACCAAGATCTGAGATGCAACAACTCTTGAAACTTTTGGAAGATGACAATTATATTTCTAGATACAGAGTTTGTGAGGATAAAATCACAGTTAGCTCACATTTTCTGGACGGCCTCCTTCATACTATGAACACTTTGACTCACATTTTCCGAGTTCTCCGACTCTAAAATCCCAAAAAAAAATATTTTCAATGATGCCCGCATTAACAAACTATCTCTTTCATCGTCGTTGAAAAAATCAAACACATATATATTTTTTCACCGCCGTTGAAAAAGTAACCCTCTAAAAATATATGGTTTGTGTGGACTGAGACAACACTATTTTACATTAATCACGTCTTTAGTATGAGTTTAGATAGAGTACGATTTTACGCCACACCCTCAAAGTTGCACCTAACCCCTTCACATTTTGGATGAAAACATCATGTTGCACTTTAATTAAAAAATATAGATAAACTGTCAAATTAAATTGTCTTTTTTGGTTTTTTTATTTATTTTAAATTTTGTAATATTTGATGCAACTTTGAATTTTTTTTTAGTTTTCACATGGTGTCTTGTGAAATCTATTATACAATGTGGCAACCAGTTTCCGATATTTTATAGATCCTAGGTTAAAATTAAGAAAAATGAGCTATTTTATTTAAAATAATACACCTTAAAACATAATAATAGTTTTACAAAATGTTAAAAAAATGAAGTGATTTCTTTGAATATTTTGAGATGCAAAATCATTTATAATCACATCAATACCAGTGTTCTTTAACATATCCTTTTCGATTGACAAAGTTGTCAAACTATTCAATCTCTCTTGTGACAATGATGATCTCAAATAGATTTTAATCAATTTTAATTTTGAAAAATTTCTTTTCGCCAATGTTATAATCACGGACACCGTGAATAAAATTCTATAAACAATTGATACATTTGGATAACAATATGCAAGTTTACAAGTTTAAGAATATTAATGGTAGACATTGTTTCATTTGACAAAGTAAGTTATAACATTCTTAATTTAGAGAAAAGATCATCTACATCAACATCCGATAAATTGCTATGAAAAAAAGTTGAGTGAAATTTAACACAATATTCTTGTAACTCATTATCATCTAATGACTTTAATTTTAGTGAATCGTATAAAAATCCAACGACATTTTCAAATGTTTTCAATTCCTTAAATCTATTTTTCAAAGAAGTAATTGTCATATAAAATCCAAAAAGAAAATAATTGAGTTTAAATGATTCTTTTGATGACTAATTTTCATGTTCTTCATTGTTTTCTCCAAAATATTTTTTCTTCTAATCACACATTGTCTTGTTGTAAAGATGGGTTAAACATTCAATTCAAATGCAACACTTTTTGAAAGATTCATACTTTTTGTAAAACCTTCCTCTTGATATTTTTCAAAATATGATAACACATCTTCTATTTGTTTTATGGTCGCGTTAGATGCTAATAGACTTAAATTGCAACTTTTTACTGACCATATTAATAACAAATAAAATATCATACCAAATAACTATACCAAGCAAAAATTCAAAACTTTCTAGCGTATAAATCAAACTCTCCGACTCTTTGTCTTTGGATCATTATCACAACATTCATATAATTCCAACAAAACCAATCTTATTTAGGGATATTGATATCTAATGACTTTAACACTCTTAATTTGACTTTTCTAACGAGTATCAGACAAATATTTCATAGTTAAACCAAGAACATTATCAAGAATTTTTTAGATTTTTTTGTAGATCCTGAGAACAATGAATATAAGTGTTGAATAACTCTAAATAATGAAATAGCCTTAACACATTAAAGTACAAACTGTTGTATGAAACCTCCAGGGATGCAGCCTTATGATGGTATATGTGCCTGTCTTGAGATTCCATCGTCAACTACCAGGAGCTGGTGAAGAAACTCGTACATCAGTTTGCCGCTATCCAACACAAAAAGATGTCCGCTACCAGCATGTTCAATATATGACAAGGTCCCTCTGAATCGTTGAGGAAATATATTTCCCGTTTCAATGAGGCTACCATAAGGGTCGTCCCCATAAACAAAAAAATGTTCCTATGGATGTTCCAAAA